TTTCCCCTCATAAAACTACCAGGCATTACTTGCCTCCAGAAGCCATTACATTATCCTGGAAACATTGATCCTCATAGACACTTTGGTGGCCAACTCTTATTTAACACGTAACTGTGAGCATCTGCACCCTCCTTTAACAAAGACAAAATACCCTGCAGAACAGAGGAACTGCTAAAGGACAGTATGAGGAAGAGCATATAAATTACATTGTTATAAATTACATTGTATATAAATCTGTCCATGTGTTTATGATAAATGTTCTTTTACTCTTTCTTTTTCCTGTTCTCATTTCCTCCCTGCTTTCTAATTGCAGAAAATAAAATAGTACAAGTCCTTGCTTTCATTATATCCTACACCTGCTGCCTGTCCTGAAACAGATGTCTGGAGCATCATTAGCCAATTATTTCTTAGCTTTTGTCAACAGGACTAATTTCAAACATCTTTCTGTTAAATCCTCCTCTCCCTGCTTCCTCTGTATTTCTCTTCCTTTCCTACATTCAGAGCTCCAACAAAAACTCCTCTCTACATCAGTTTGCTCCTGTTATGTTTGTCCTAGATCACTGAACTCACAGAAGAGGAAAGAAGGGGATTATAACTACTTTGAAACAAGAATCAAGTTTGAGAGACATCATGGATGGGGGGGAGGGGGAAGACAAGGCAAGGGAAGAAAATAAGAGAGTATTAGTCAGCAGCGGAGGCTGACAACACCAGCTAGTTTTTTATGGTTAAGGATTTTGGGGACATCACAGCAAAGGAGTGTTTTACTTGCACACAAGGACAACTCCTACGCCCTCACTGTGAATGACATTTTTGACAACAGGAGAAAAGCCCAATTCCAAGCACCCTCTTCATTTCCCTAACATCTTGCATACCCAGCCAAGAAAAGCATGCTTGAAAAGCGAGCAAGCCTGCAAGGCAAGGATGACTCTGTTGTTGAGGTAGGCATTAGCGGGAACTGATTTCTCCCTCTTATTTCCAAATATTGCCTTAATATTTGGAAGAAATCTGTACTTCGGGAGGAACTGTGAACTGCCCAGGTCAGCTACAGGCTTCAGCACAAGCTTCATTTAATCGCATTGGCTGTCAGTGCGGTGACATATATATTTGTGGGTTATCTTACCTTGTCCCCAGCAAGGGTGGGAAGACTTTCCTCTCCTTTATCATGAGACAAAAAAAAACAAAAATAACCTAAGAATCCTGTGTCTCCATTTAAATATTCTGTGCATGCAGTGGTTTATCTCCAGTCATTCCTCCAGTTTTCAAGTAAGAAAAGGAGATGCTCTGGCCCTTACACTCTAGCAGATCCACAGTTTGCTCATCCCTGGCTAGGCTGGCAGACAGCTCCACTTGTAGCTGCTAGAAAAGGAGGGTTCATTTTCCCCATCTATAACAAAAAAAAAAAAAAAAAAACAAGCTGAAACAAGAGCTCTAGGACATGTTGTGCCAGGTTAATTGGCACTAAACTGTTCAGCATTCAGCACTTGCTGAAAATTGTTCCTTTAGGTTATTTCTTTCACTAGTAAATTCCTGGCTATATTATGTTCAGGCAATCTCATTAATCTGGGCTGGTTTCAGCTTGTAAATTACTGTAACTAGATTAGTATAGTCCCCATTGCATGCTTAAAATATGTTATTGAGGAACGGTTGGCATCCCTAACAATCGGTTCCTCAGCTCTGGACCTGGACATGGATGCTGTATCTTTACCAGATTCTACCAGTTTGATTCACAGTTTCCCCTCATCCCTGTCTGCTCCATTAAGAAACTTCAGCAGAAAATTATCATTTCTCCAAACAGCCTTGCAGAAGTAGGAGCTCTTATGGTTATAAAAGATACAGAAACAGGTTTCTTGGGGCTGTCTTGTGCATGGTGTCTCTACTAATGCATGACCGAGTTAGTTCTTTCCCCTCAACAGGGGCACTAATTTGGACCTCCCTCGTCTACTGGTGCATCTATCTCGGGAAGCTCGGAGGACTGTAATATCTCAGGCTTGTCGGCCACTTGTAAAACAACTGGCCAACAAATTACAAAGTCACTTGCAATGGTGGGAAAAGGCTGACAAGTGCCCACACACTCACTACAATCACATCAGTGTAATCTTCTTACAAAATCAGGCTGAAAGTAGATACACTGACTAGTAGACAAACTAAAAGTTCACGGCAACCACCAACTCCACTAATCTTTGTGATAAAATCTGAGCAAGGACTTGGAAGTGGCAGGGAGAGGCATATGGCTTCTGTTAAGGGTGCGGCTTGTGCTTACTCATGTTTTGGCAAGATGCAAGTATTTGAATTTTTAATCTCACACTTGGACACCTGCTAGAACCCTGCACCTAGGAGTTCTGAGAAACAACAATTATGGGGACAGAGTATAGAGTAGATACATTTTTGTGCATCTATAATGCAATTTCTAGTTGCTATAACGCAACTAGAGGATGGTAACCAATTACTGCTGTAACTATTCTTTTATCTCACATGGCTGAACTCTTATTGCCCACTAGCCTCCAGGCTGGGAGAGGGAAGGTGGAGACCTGACTGGAAGAAACTAAAGAAGAATGTAGCATCGCGCTGGCAGGAAGCTTCAAAATTCAAGTTGCCCCCGAGACCTGAACTTGCTCCCTTTCCATTTAGAGGTAAGTATAAAGATACAATTTCTTCAAGCCACAAAAATCTTTTTCCTGCAGGGCTGCTTACCTCCAAAGTAAAGCAAACAGCAATTCCTTAGCAAGCAGGTTTGCAATACTTTGTCTCATATTTATCCATGTGGCTCCATACCTTACAGGCTACTCATTGAATTCCCACCCTAAATAACAAATCAGCAACTTCTTCTATTTTTGGTGTTCAACTTCGGAATACACAAGCATGAACAGTTCCACAAAATGGACAGCTTAAGGTCACGTAGCCAAACTTAATCTTTTTTTCATGTATTATCTTAACAAAACAAACAAACCCCCCACCCCCCACACAAATTTACAATGCAAAATTTGAGAACTCAAACACTGAGGAATCATTGATCTGGATTTCTATTTTGAAGAAATCATTATTTGTATTAGAGGTTTCCTGAGACCTCGAGGGAACAGGGTCTCAGGAAAAATATTTCGTACAAATACAGACTAGGAGACCACCATTGTCTCCAAGCACCTGGAATTCAAAATGACCATACAAGCAAAGTAATATGTATGGAAGGAAGAGCAGAGAAAGGTACCTGTGGAATCAGAGCTAAGGGCCGTTACAGCATCTGTCTGTCAAGGTGTCCCCACACAACCACAGGATTCTTCTCTAATAGCTCCCATGGACAGACCTCAAGAGCTTTGAATGATAAAAGTTTTTAAAAAATGAGAATTACAGCCTACTGCATAAGAAATGCTTTATCCTCAATTTACAACAGAGAGAAACTGAAACATGAAGCAGCCTCCTCTCTTTTCCCATTTTGAGCCTAGCCGGTGGGACTGAGGGTAGAGTTGTGCTTCCCTTTGCTTCCTTTCCAGAAAAGCAAACACCTTTTTGTAGCATTAGCAGCATTAAATGTAGAATATTAAGAGCCTTTAGTAATTTTTACTCTCCAGCACTGCATTTCTATGGAAACAGACCTTTTAAGATAATGTACAAATGCTGACTGCTTTAAGAACTCCATTTACTTACCTTACTTGCCTTTTACTGCCATAACTGTTTCTATGGAAACCAGAACTGGCCATATAGCAGTCCTACAGCATGAATTCTCACTTGTCAATTTTACATTAAAGTGCCACCTTCAAAGTCCTTTTATAAACCAGGCATGATTGTATTGCTCAGAGTTTTTAATTTAAAAACGTGTGCTTTCACTAAATGCTCCACACAATATTTTTAAGGTGTGGTCTCAGTCTAAGAATTTTAACAGTGTGCATGATATGACTCTTTTGGTTAAGGATATGATCTTTAAACAGAGAGACAGTTTATTAGCAGTAAAAGCCCTAGTGTGTGTAGTTAGACTTGCATAAAGGTGACTTATACCAACATGGGTATGTCTAGACTGCTGTCACAGAAGCATACTGTAGAGATACTGAGTAAATGGGTAAAATCAAGCTACTTACTGTGCTCCCACAGCTAGCTGGGTTACTGCTGTGCAGGCATAAGCATGTGCTACTCTCTGTAGGTACAAGAGGGGGAATGCACTACACCAGAGCAAGTGTTAGCCTGTGCTGGGTGGCTACTGTGGAAAAAATAAAGCATTCACATTTCAGGCACAACTGCTCTATACTGCTGCACAGATTTAGAATTAGTCTAGTTCAAATCTAGGCTTCTCCATTAACCTTATCTTAATCTTTCATGCACATAAAAACTGTAAATTCCCTTGCACTCATTAATGTTGTTTCCCTAAGGTTCAATTCAAGTGAGAAGAATCTTCACATGTTCCTGGGGAACAATCTCCCACAGGAAGCACCATTCACATCCCAAGACCCTTGCATTGCCAGCACAGATCAGCTTAAATAACTTTCAAAAACAGGTTCTTTCCAGAAAGTTTTAGACACATTTTACATATAGATCAAAATAGCAGAAAGTACAGAGTCAAGATTGCAGGCAACAGAACAAATCAGATGCTGCAGGTATAACTATACAAGCTGCAAGTGACCAAAATGTAATCCTATTTTAGTATGATTGTGTTATAACTTATTTTAAAGAGACCCCAAAGAGCAATACAATCTCAAGGCCATCTTTCCCTGCAAGACTCAGCCACAGAGTTCCTCCCCAAAACTCATCCAGCCCACACATTTGTCTGCTACCCCAGGGAGAACGAGGGCCTTCCTCTCTTCTAGGCTAAGTGAGATCACCCTTCTCAGGGAGCCTGCAGGATTCATTTAACCCTTTCCCAGGAAAATCAACGTCTGCTAATAGAGCAGAACCTTTCAAAAAAACAGCCAGGTCAACATCTCAAATTAGGCATAGTCGGTTATTGGCACGTGCCATGCTCATCCCTACTTGTCCAGGACAGCTCATATTTTTACTTTGGACTATCCCTAACTTACATCTTTGTCCATAACCAAGTGGTAACACATGGTTAACTCTTGGAATGAGTATGACCCTTAAAAATGGGAATTGATATCCCAAATTTCTCCCATGGGCAGCCTTTGTTTTAAAGCATCACTTCAACCTGATCAGTATCAGAGCAGGAATCTGAAAGGAAATATCCCTTGTGGCAGTATGACTAGCTGGATCTTTTGTAGGTGTGATTTATAGTTCCTTGCCTTCCTACTCAGAACATGGACTTCTTTCTCTGCTTTCTAGAGCCCTTCACAGAAAAATAAAGTCTTCTACAATGCTTTTTTAATCCCTGTCTCCTCTGTCTATAGAATAGATGGTACTTAACTCCAAACACAGCAGCAATGCTAGAAACAATGGCAGTCTGTCAACTTAAGTCCTGTATTAAGTTCCCTTTAATAAAGAAATTAAAGGGAAATAATGGCTTATACCTAGTTTTACACTATAGACAAATGCACTATCTCTTTAAGGCTGGAGTTTTCCACAGGCCTCTGAATGCAAATGCCAAATATTTCGTCATGCCTTTGTGTTAGCCTATATCTCACTGCAGCCATGGCTTGGAACGAGGCACATAATATAACATCACAACAGAGACCTGGCACATGTGGGGCTACGCGCTGGCTTTCCTCATGTATATGGTTTATTTTTACCTGCTATGTCAGTCCTTATAGGGCTTTACCACTAGGTCTGCCTCCTGGGAGTCTGCGATTTCAGCGGTTCTGGGGAAGGAGCAGAGTACAGAGGAAGGACACATTAAATCTTTTCTACTCTTTTCAAGTTAAAGCTATCACCTTCCCACCATCAATTAAACAGATTATTTGGACAAGACCCTGCAGCAGAGAAGCCCTAAGCATAAATACAGAACAGCTCCAGGCTTTGAACTCCGGCACACAGGAGAGTTCTGATGAATCCTGCACGTCCCACACAGTAACCTTCTTTAAGGCCAGTGCTCTTTTCATCAGTGTCTTTCAGCAGGCACCGTGTTCCTCCACACAAATATGGATAGTGATATGGACAGTATTTTCCCCAAAAGCGACAAAGGAGGAGAAAACACACACAAAAAAACAGATCACACTAAGATTACAGTGGGTCTTGCTGACTTTGGTATTTTCTTCATAGCAGCAGACTTATTGCTCACCATTTGTGATGTAGGAAGCAATTTAAAAATAAACAGCAAAACAATGGCTGATTTGTGAGACTTCTGGTCTGAACAGAACCCACAACAATATGTATCAGTAGAGTCTACTGTAGCTGAGGGAATCCAAACATGCTTTACAAGCAGTGGGCAAACTGTAGGATGAGGATGGGATGCATTCCTGAATATTATTTTTCTGAAGAGGGTGGCAGCTGTGTTGTGAGATCCCAGTGCACACTCAGGAAAACATACACACACGGTATGCCAACACTGCAAAGAAGGCCAGGCAAACCTGTCTGATTGTTTGCTTGCATGTATTTCTCCTATTGTTATTAACCATGTATAAAAGATGCATAGATATCACCACCTGGTAAAATCACAAGATCAGTCCTTAAGCCACCAGGTCCTGATATGACCACGTTGTAAGAAGTGCTCTTTAGTACTGACTTCTCTTCAGAACTAATTGAATGTGAGTGTGAGGAGGACCATATCACGCCTTATTTTTAGTCAGGGAAGAACATGCACACAGGGAAGCCGCCCAGCTTTCCAGCTCCATTGCTGGACTATGCCCAGGATCAGTTTGATACAAGTTTCTAGGAATATAAGTCAGCAAAATTTTTAAGATAAAGTATTTGGATAACTCCTTTCAGAAGCTGAACAAAAGTAGCCTCTGCAGAATCAAGATACTATTCCTCTCATCTAGATCACATTAGGTAACAGCAGCTTTTCAGAGCTGGAGCTCCATCTCAACCACTCCATCTTCCTGACTTCACCCTGAAGAGCCCAGGAGCTCGTGTATGTTATCTTCCTTCTTTAAAAGGTCATATAGTATCCCTCCATAGTGCTGATAACATCGCTGTTACTCTCCAGCAGCTCCAGGACACGGTGCATCACTGCTTCAGACACGTAGGGGTTGTAGCTCTGCCGAACGCAGCTCAGGATGTGAAGGAAGTGACAGCCTTTCTCAGCATCTGCAGAAACAACAGAAAATGCAGCCAGACTTGGAGAAAGGACCTCAGTCTCAAACTGCCCCCAATTATTGTAGCTAGGTTAAAAGAGGTACAAAAGCAGATCACCTATGCATTAGAACAGAGATAAGGGATCCAGCTCTGCGTTCACAGTTTTCCAGTTATCAAATGCTCCCACTGATCTTGCTAAAAATTGCCAAGGGTGCAACCTTAGTCACAAGCATGAATGATTACCAGTCCTGCACTATACTGGGCTCATCGTGTACAGGCTGATGAGGCGGATAGTGACTTAAGGACTTAAATGACTCCCACAGTTGCTCTATGACAAGCTGCCCAGTTGCTGTAACTGCAGTTTTTCAGAAGCGAAAATGACATGTGAAAATCCTTTCACCCACACCTAACTTCACAAATGCCTAGGACACAAGGGAGGCTGTGGCCAGCCGTGACTGCTTGCCCAATGCTGGCACCTTGTGGCCTAACTGTTACAGTGCAACTTGCATTCACTTTGGCAATGCAATCCCAGCCTTGCACTGTAGTCCACTCAGTCAATTAATTACTGAAGAAGGTCACAGAAACTAATTTTAATCTCATTTTAAGAGGAATGAACTCTCAAAATACAAGAGACCAAAAATGTGAAAATAGTTCCCTTTCCTGGAGGGCAAGGCAGAGAGGGGTCCTTAGAGTCTGCAGTCCTGCGGTGGCTGCTTTATCCTCCCCTTTATTTGGGTGACACTTGGCAAAGCCAGTAGCCACAGTCTGACTGCCCCTATCAGCAGTTTTCCCCAGCAGCCCCCTCGAACCCGCTCGTTACCCTGAGCTGCCCCCCAGCCTCCCAATGCTGAACTCCACACGTAGAGAGATTTCTCTCCCTCCATGCCCAAGAATGGAAGTGTAGTATGAATGAGGCCTGTAGCACACACAGCTCCCCTCTTCCTCAGCTCACATGACAACAGGAACATTTGACAAAGGTCCTGAGAAATCTGCATGAAGGTCTGGGGCCAGGGAGGTCTGTGGCTTTTGTTTTTGCCACTTTTGTTTCATTTTAGCAAATTCCTGGGCTCCACACAGCCCTAGGAGCTTATGAGAAAAGTCACTGGTAGAGATACAGAGGCACTAGGAGTTAGCAAATATTCAGCTTGGGAGGAACTGCACAGTGATTCAGGCAAGTAATTTCTTCTCTACATTTCTTTTGCTAGTCTGTGGTATAGTGTAATGAAAGATCTTAGTGGCTGGTAGCCAAAAATGGACTCACCATCCTACAATGGGTAAGCACAGAACAGAGCATTGTGCCTCTGCAGCCTTAACAACTGCTTAACAAAAGCAGGTAGCTGCATTAGTCACAGGTTTGTCATAAGAAAGTCAGAGTTCCCATCCCTGATTCATAGTAACTTAGCTTAAGCCATAATGAATTCCAGTGACTCAGGGGTTACTCAACACCAGAGAGCCTTTTCCTAGATGCTGGTGGGAAATGGCATTTTGGAGCAGCTGCAGGTATCCAGGTATCCCAGAAATACTCCTGGGCTGCTCCTAGAAAGGAGCCTTTGAGGAGATTATCCTTGCAGCAGAAGATACTATAATGATGCAGTCCTAAAAAAAATCCTTCTTTTTAACATATTGGGATTTAGATTCTGTCCATCTCCTGAAGAAAGGCAGACTCTGATTAATTTTCTTGCCTGATTTCCAACATCAAATGAGACATGAGTTACATATTCACGGGCACTTGGCACAAGGGTATGTCTTGGACATGTTAAATGTAACTTTAAATGTTTCTGTTTTTATGGTCTCAAACATTAGCCTCATCTGAGCCTAGAAACAAAGCCAATATGACAAGAAAAGAAGCAGGACTAGATTAAGTCTACAATTTTACAATTCAGTCTGGAATCAGACTGCATCATCCTCTCCAGTTGTCTCAAATCTCCAGACACACTCAGAATGGCCTCACATATGGGCTTTTAAGATCAGCTTATTTGGAAGTAGTTAGAACCATAGGCTAGCCTTGTCACGTAGGCATATTGCAGATCAGGTTTTGTGAAGATTTGACTAGTCATGTCGAAACTTTATATTTTTTATATATGTATGTGCATATATATATATATGTTTGTACAGCAACTCCAGGCAGCTGGGTTGGGTCTGAGAATGCATCAGAACTGATGGGTGAGGCTCTGCCTTGGAAACTGGCAGAGAAGCAACTGATTGGATAGAAGAGGTTGGTTTTATTGTAAACCAGTCTTCCTGGCATGGAAGATTAATATTACTCTTGATGGAAAAGGGCAAGAACTTGATGTGTTGGCACATTCACATTCCTTCACTAAGAGCCCGCTCATGAGCCCAGGCCAAGCAGCTCACCACCACTAGAGGGGGACCAACAGTTAGACTAGAGCTCACTCTAGCACTGAGTGATAATAAAACATCCTGTCGATTTTGATATTTTGATTCAAGTCTTTGGAGTTTTCTCCTTCCCTCCTACTCCCTCCTACTTTTTTCTTTTTTTTTTCTTTTGACAAAGTGCACACTGCTTACTTCCAATTTGATCTTTCACAGAGTTTCAACTTTTCCAGCTGATGACATGGAAATCTTCTATTATAAATGTGCAGAATACTGAAAGTCTTCCTGAAAGTCAACAGAGAAAGAGAGACTGATCTGGAAACTGTGCTCTTTACAGCTAGTAACTGTATGCAGATGGAAAGCTTCACAGAGAACAATGGGTTCTGCAATGCAGTTAATATTTGTTCTCCGTTCAGTAAGAAAAGTATGGCTTAGAGACCTCAGGAATCTGTAAAGTCCTAATTCTTCTCTGATGCAATTCCTTTTATTGACTGGAAGAATTTCCCAATATCTCATAAAGCACTAAGAGGAGTTCAGCACTCCTCTGCTGAATATAGTGCTATAATATTACAGTATAAGGATACAAGCACACTGAAGATTATATGCCATGAATTCTAGGCAGTCATTTATTCTGCACCATAGTGTGTTCCACCCCACAAATAGCTGCACTCCAGCAGCAAGTGATCCCTGCTGTCACATTCTGCCCAGTGAACTGAAAGAAACTCTGTAGCACTTCATGAGTGTAATTAGTAGACATCCAAGTCAAGCACAAGCTATCACTATGGTAATAAAACATAATGCACATGAAAGACAGGGATCATTTGGAAGCTATATAAGGTATTTGTCTTTCATACATACTGAAAATCCTTACTTGTATAAAACAATTACCTAAGTTCTATGCTCAGTTAAAATCTACAGAGTTCTTTTCCAATTGTTACTAAATTTATTGTTCATTTAATGGAGACAGGGATTTCACCTTTCTATACTGCCACTTCAGTGACAGCTTCCCTGTGGAAAGCGAGCTTGCAAGGTTAGCTATTTATCCACATCACAAAGCAGCAGCTGCCAGGTGCCATTCTACACTTCATTACACTTGGTTCTTCCCAAAATATAATATTCTCAAAAGATGTAGATCCAGAATAACGGCTGCTCATTTCAGATCTCAGACATTTGTTTTCCTGCTGGCCTCTGCCTCTTATCCTTCTCTTCTCACACTCACAGGACGATACTCCTTTTAGCTACACTCATTAGCTTCACCCGCAACCGAGCCTCAAGTTCAGGGGGAAGGACAAGAATTTCATCTAATCCAGTAGCAGGAGGAGACACTGTCATAAATGGCAGCACAGCTTGTCAAGGGCCTGATCGCACTGCTACTTACGCCTGGGTTTTCGACAGTCTTCCTTGACCACATCTAGGGTCACTTTAAGCAGCTCCTTATCATGGTCAGTCACCTGGAAGAAACAAAAGGGCAGTTCATAGCAATCTATTTTGCAGTAGAGAGCAGGACTGTTAAAGAATCAGAAGCCACGATGTATTCTGAACCAACACTGCCGTAACTATGATCTGCATGCTTTACTTACTCCAAGATTAACAATGAATGTTAAATCTTCTGTTATTTTTTAGTAATTTTAGCAGCATTCATCAGTTAGGTGAAGAATAAGATTTATTGGAATCAATCCCAGAGGACAGCAAGTGACTCAGCAGAAAACTCATGTCCCAGAGTTCGGTGTGCCCTGCTGTGTCAGTGCACAGTTTTGCACCTGGAATTGCAGCAGTGATGGAGACTACTCTTGACTTACACAAAAAACAATTTAGCGGGTCACGTAAGAGGCAGAAGGAAAGAAAGAAGCAGATAAACTTTCTGAATAAACAGAGAGCATGTGGTAGTCCAGCTTCCCCTTCCAAAATGTTTCTACTAAGATCATGAAGCCATCTCACAGAGCAGATTGGCAATAACAGTTCAGTTCCTTACATGGTATAAGTCTTTGGAGCTACTAGGTTTCTGGAAAACCACTCCTTTTTCTTGTAGCATCCTTACTGCTTCCTTAAAAACACTGTGAATCTGTTTAGAGCTTGGGTCACTCTTTGAATCCACCTGCATGGAGAAAAAAAAAAAAAAAGAATTAAGTGGTGATAAATAGCCACACTAGAGCTGACAGCAAAAATTCCAGTCGGTTTCAAGAAAGAGAAGAATTCAGATTATTTTGTTCTGATAATTTGTTAAATGAAAAAAAATGCATCTGTTGTATACAACCTAACCAACATGTCAGGCTTTAAAGAAGTACCAGAAGCTTGTTCCTTAACAATGGCAAGATCTCCTAACTGCCTTTTTTGTATACAGTAACTACTTGCTAATGTACTGAGAATTCTCTTCTTTTGGAATAGGCTTTATAGGGCATATGGGAGGAGATGGAAATATAAGTGCTTTGTAAGATAACATTCAAGGAGAATTCAAGCACTGGGGATTGGATTTCAATCTCTTGAACTGAAACTGAGGCACTGCTTAAGGAAAGAAGGAAACTGGTAATAATTTAGGCAAGAATAGTATTTATTTTCTCTCATTTTACTCACATTCTGGTTATGGTCTCAAGAACTTCTCCATTGTAGAAATAAAAAGGCAAAAGGCGGAGAATAAAGAGCACACAAGAAATGAAGATGGAGATCCAAAATTTTTCATAAAAGATAATAGTGGAAAAAAAAAAAGGGGGGAGAAAAAAAAGAACGAACTTTGAGGGCAGGTAGGACGTAAGAGCCTGTTGCGGAAGAGCAGCATGTGTAGCATGTGTGAAAGTCCAGAACCAAGAAGGGGATTTAGAACAAAAGCTTCTGTGTCTGGGACACAGCTAACAGACTGGGAAACAGTAGCAGAAGCAAGGAAGGGGAAGGGAAAAAAAAAACAAAAACAAAAACAACGACGACGACGACAACAAGGGCTTGTTTTAAAGTAGAACAGAGCTAAGAATGTAGGAGAATGAGAGCTAGTGAAGTAGAAGACGCGAAGTCAATGAAGAATCAACTGTGGACAGGATAAAGCACAGTAGATAAGAGCAAGATCATGACCTACTCTTTATAAATCTCTCTGTTTCTTGGTCATGTCCTTCAGCCTCCACTTATACATGCAGACTGCTTCAACTCCCCAGCTGTTGCTTCCTCTATTGAGAGCACATTGTGCTCACTGCGGTTTCCTTTGAGAACAGAGCTCAACTGCTTCCCAGAAACCAGCACATGATGGATTGAATGAGACCACACCAGAGCAACCAAAGCAAGACTTGCCAAACCATTTTTTCAGCCACCACCATAAATGCTCCCATCTTGTCCTGACAAAGACTAACAGATTTCCCAGATCCTACTTCACTTGCTAAATGCACTCACGGAAACCTTGGGAGTGAAACAGGCAAACACCATGCACCGTAATGAACTCACATGGACACTAAAAGTTAGTGATGGGAGAACACCTTTCTGCAGGACATCAATCCCATTTATTTGCGAGTCTCAAGAGAAAATTGGACTGTTTTCCAAGTCTGATGTGTCTGATCAGGAACAGTTAAAATCAGATATTCAAGATGGATATTAGGTTTGGGTTCAGCATACCTCAATTTTCTCCATCACTTTCCTCCTGCTAATCCTTGGTGTTCCAACAGGCCACAGTCACATCTCTCTGACCCACAATCTAACTATTTTTTTTCTCCTCTCAAATTCTCTGTCAAAATAATTGCTTAATAGTTTAAGCTCATTAACACAGAACAATGTCTATGATTTGCAGTCTTTATTTATCCTAAGGTTTCCCCTATTTCTGGCTACAGAACAATGTCTATGATTTGCAGTCTTTATTTATCCTAAGGTTTCCCCTATTTCTGGCTGAAGGAGGCAGACAAAACCCTGTCTATCCCTAAGCACCACAGCTCTGTGTGTTTAGACAGTAACAGAGACTAATTTTAACTACAAGTGTGAACTTGCATGTTGCCCCTATCCCAGTCATAGTGGTAATAACACTATCATGTATCTCTCCGTGGTGCCTCTTCTGGCAAACTTCATAAACAAACATGAAATGTACCAGGAAGGGGTTTGTAAGAGAAAATAACGAATGTTGGTTCTCATACAAAAGCGTATTCTCATAGCCGTATCTAAAATGACAAGATCTTGCCTCATCTCAAATGCAGGAATAAATCTTCAAGAACCTAAGAGACTGCTAGCAAAGCAACCCACCTCAAGACTGATCAATTTTTAATGTGAAAGCAAACATTCAAGGGGAAGAAAATGACAAAAATATCTCCAAAGCAGCACAATAGTTATTCATTTTGGCTCAACACTGAGATCCCCTCAGTAAATTAAAAGCAGACTCTGCGTGAACTGCCACACAGCTCAGCCATGCTGAAACAGAATCACTAAGAACGTGCGTCAAGAGATTGACAGAGGGAAGGCAGAAAGGCAGCCTTGGAAGCGAGAAAATAAGTCAGCAGCTGCTGCCTCTCGGCACCTCTCACACGTGCAGAGCGCTGAGGGGAGGCTCCATAGCAGCGGGACTGCTCCCGAAGAACAGATGAGGGGCCTTTGATTTCACCCTGCGACCATGGGAGAAGGGCTCTAGAGCACGCCTGCTCCTCTCCATCCCCACGGGCAGTTCAGCTCATAAGCACATGCTAAAATTATATTAACTGTTCCTTTGGTCTATCTAAAATATCTTCAGTTTCTTATCCTGCAGCTTCCCTCAAACATCCCTATTTCCTGAAAACTAGACGTATTCCTCCAAAGTATTTTATCCTTGGCTCTTATACTGAGCCAGCTCTGATTTCTTCTGGACTTGAAATAACATCGTCTAGCCAGTATACATAAATGTGTGATTTTCTCCATCAAGCAGAGCTCTGAAGAGACTGGACAAGCTCAAGGTAACCACTAAAGGCTATTAAAAACACATAGTATTTCTGGTCTGAAGTCCGTGGTGACTACTGTACTTATAGGGCTTTGCAAAGGCAGAAAGAAGAAATCTGAGACCATGAAATCCCATGGAATTTCACATCTCACGCTTGCATTTCAAGAGTTAAGCTGTGCCAAAGTTGCAGATGTGGTTAATTCTGAGTCACAGTTTATTAACCATTATTTAACTTTTACAAAGCTATTTGAGAAATTTAAAGCATTTGCAAATATTAAGTCATTTAATGTCTGATCCAAAGCACACTAGCAAGAGCATAGATTCCCCTGAATTTTGCATTTACCCCTGAATTTTCGCCTCTTTTCAAAGATGGCATTCCTCTGTTTCACAGTGAGTAACTTCAGATGCCCTAAAACACTGATAACACGAGATCTCACAAAAAAAAAAAAAAAGTAGCTTTTAAAGTGTTTGACAATCACTACCAGCCATGGTCAGCCATGACTTTATAAGAAAGCCAAAAGAAAAATCCATGTCTCCAGAATTATTATTATTATATATTTTTAAATCTCTATCCTCCAGCTGATGGGCCTCACACTGCTTGGTGGACTGGTACTACTCCCCCAGTTATTCTCTGGTCTTTAAAAGACGACAGACTCACTGCACAATCAATAATTTGTCAAAGAATGAAGAGATACAAGAACTAGTTTCTCCCTTCAGAATGCTGGAGGGATTTAACCTTTGGCTCACTGAGAACGGCAACACACCCAGGTGGTGGTAAAGCTTCCTGGTATCACCACACGTGTGATACTACTTATAGAAACCACCTTTTGCAATTTCTCATACAACATTTAAGCCTTGGCTTAGAGAGATGACACTTTTAGTAACACTAATTCTGGACGTCAGTCCTGAAGTCCTATTATAAGTTTTGCAATATTTACATATATACACGCATGTATGTATGCATAAGGCAACAATAGAACTTGTTCAAGAGGCAGGAAGACAAACACATAGTGCCAGTGATGTATAAGGACACTGTGTTACACCTACAGGATAATGCACAGGCCCGCAGTAAGTAAGAATGACACTGTAAAACTCCCTGCTTTAGCTATGTGTCATTGCTGACCTTGAGATAATATTCAAATCAGGAGAAGTACAAACAGCCGAGTCTGGAAAGCACAATCCAAATCATGTGTCCAAGTTGGTGACATGCACAAACTGGAATGGAGGCACCAAATACAGCACACACTGTAGCTGCAGCATGCAGCAAGTGCATTAAAATGTCTGGTTACAAGTCATATTTATTCCAGTTTGGAAACTGGATAGATCCTTTAAAAAGGAACCATCTATTAGACCCATTTGTATATGTTCAGCAAGTATACATTTTAATTTCACTAAGCATAAGATTACTTGATTTCTTGCTTATAGCTGTCCTTGCAGTACCCATTGCTCCAAACTCAAAAGCCATGTATTTATGGAATAAGGGAGAGGCTTGGGGATAGAGGAAGCACTCATTATGTCAAATTACATTCCACTAGACCTAATGGTTTTGTTAATTTTTGTTTATTTTAATAAAAAAACCTTTCTTTTTCCTGTCCTCTGTAGACTGCATAATTAAAAGATACCTGGCACGCACCTGAGCAGAGGACATGTGAGCTCTGCCACATATATCTGCTAGATACCCTCCTGGGAGCTCCTTAGGACTGGAATTAGGCACCACGACACTACGACAGCAATGGAAAAGACGCAGAGCTCAAAGGCAATGCTGACAAGGACAGAGATGCTGCCCACCTCACACTATCTCAGCTATCTCCTTGCATCTTCACCCCCTGCTTTGCTCTGCTGCCAGTGACTCCATAGCAGCCCCTTTCCAATGGAGGAAATATTCCACTGGGAGATACTCTCCCACTGCGCAGGTACTTTATAAGTCAAGAAAGAGATGAAGGGAGTCTCCTAGGATCACAGGGAAAGGGAGAGAGGAGTAGAACAAGTTTTTAACAGCAGCTATGCTGAAGCGCTAGAATCAGAACAAAATAGAGCGATTATACAAAGTAACACAGCTTTTCAATACCCAGGAAAGCTGCGAGGAGTGAACAAGTGTGTGTATTTTGGTGTGATTTTTGGTCTTCAGTTTGATCAACTCATTCAGTTCCTACCTTGTCAAACTGGCATGAAATACTATGATTCGATATTACCAGCACTGTTTACCCATTTGTTGAGGGGGATGCAACTGAGAAAACTAGAGAGGGGGAAAGAAAGGAATAGGGAAAAAATCAAGTCTATCACACTCATTTTAGAGGACTAAACTGGGTAGTCAACCCTTTGCCAAGACAGCGCAGCAAAATAATAAGATGCACGTCCAGTCATCACTAGGAGCTCACCTTGAGGCACTCAAGTCATGTAACAAAGCAGGTTTTTCTTATGCAAAAAGCTATAAGCCACTTTGCAAAGAATTAATACCAAAGGATTATAGAGAAAACTGCCAGTTCTTAATAAGCACCTATGTGCCCAAATTCCTGGGACATACACTCACACCTTTGCATCAGGGTCAAGAGCAATAACCATTAATTATTATGATTGTTCCTCAAGGCTGGTAACAATGCTGATGCCACATTGTTTTTGTTGGGCTTTTGTGTTTTTCTGCTTGTTCTTCATGAGTTCCTCTTAAAAGGCTTTGCAAGACATTCCTTATAATCTTTCTGTAAAAGCTGAAACTTCACAGATAGATGTTTCCAGTATTAGTCACAATGACCACTACTTCCTTCAATGTAAAGTGTTTATGGACTTTTAATACTGTTCCAGCTAGTTTAGAAAATACCCTGTCCCATGTTTCATATTTTAAAAATCAAACTTTTCTGTCACAAACCAGAGTGGTTCCTTGTCCTTGCTAACATCCATGATTCCTCTAAAAACAAACAACAAAAGTGCCTTTAATAAAAACAAAAGAAACTCCAATCAGGAAGCAGTTATGAGAAGCAGTTCAATGCAGCCAGCAAGAATCGAGCTACTTTTCATTATTATTTTAATTCAGTCGCAGGGGTCTGATTTTTATTTGTTTCAACAAACAAATATCTGACACTAACATAACACAACCCATTTCATTTCACAATGCATAGGAGAACCAGGCAGTGAAAATGATTGCCATGGATTTATTTCTTTACAGAAAATCCTCCAAAGTAAACAAGTGAGTCAGACTTGTAATATTCTGCTCTAACAGTTTGAGTTGCCATTGGTAACATGCTTAAAGCTGTAATTCTGTTACTTTGACAGAAATTTACCGCTCCACAACAGTTGAGAATCTGGCTTGCGAGTTACCAAATTGCAGAGTAATATAAAACCATGCTACAAAATGGCCTTTGTTCCATTCCCCCTTCTGAAGTTAATCAAGACTGCTATCGTATTGGAAAGCTTTTTGTTTTCTTAACAGTTTGTTTACATGCAGTGCAGATTTCAATTAAATCCTACCTTCTGTCCTGGCCTTTCATGCCCTTTCACAACTAGAGACGTCCAGCAGGAGAAGAGTATAACATGGAGCAGTTATTCATCTACTCATCATAATTTATATTCTAAAATCACATCTATATTAAAATACTGAGCTTCAAATAAGAAATAAGACAGAGCCCCTCTACCCCATTCTCCTGGTTAAATTCAACATCTCAGACATTTGTCAAACAACTCTTAAAGGTCCTTTTCTGATACTATTCTACTTACAAAACTGGATAGTTGGTGCCTGTTGCAGGCTCCATAAGGTTACTCAGAGCCAATACAAAACTATCCTTAACAGAGTTCTCATGGCTTTCCTCATCCAGTTTTAAATATCTCAGGTTAATACCTGAGGTTTCATAAGTCCTTTAAATAATAAGCAGTAGTCATTTAGGATTAAAAGAGTATCAGACAATATATTCTCCACTAAAAACCTGAAATAGTTGCATTCACTCACCTCCTGACAGCTGGGACTAGGTTGAGGCTGGTGGGCCAGGGACACGAGAGTATCAACTGTTTCCAGCTCCTGTTGGTAAAACGTTTGAATTCTGTTTTGTAGCAAGAAGTCTTTCACTTTCTCGCACAGCATATTGGAGAAATCCAGGCACTCTGGGCCACTGCAAGAACACACAGAACATGTCAAAAAGAAAGAAATACACTACCAACATTTTTAAAAATAATTGCTTGAAGTTAGTCTGGTTTTCAAATATCAAAAGGCATTTTACTGCCTTTGAAGATTCTTAACTCTAAACCCTTTATTGAAACAGTCCATTTTTATTTGCATTGAACACCCAACTGCTTCTCTTCAGTCCTTTTGTGTAACATTATTGGGATTTAAGATTCATAGTCTCTGAAGCTACACTGCATGTGTCAGACCTTCCAATAAACATCCAGTCACCCTTTAATGGCAAACTGAAGCTGGGACCAGGATTAGTTTATTGAGGTTGTGCCTTCAGGACTGGAATGACAGGACTAGAGTCAAGAGCATTGTGACAGAACAGCTCCTTATCTTTACATGTAGAAGAAAAGTGAAGTCAGGCCACTCCAACTAATGTGCTGATCGCATTCCCAAACCCCAATTTACTGTCCTAGATGTCCTATATTTTGCTACCTCTGTTCAAGGGCCCTTCTTTTCTCAAATTACGAGTGGGTATCTCATCTGTATGGATCATAAGAGAGCACTGTTAACAGGTTGCCCAGAGAGGTTGTGGAGTCTCCATCCTTGGAGATATTCAAGGGCCACCTCAATAGAGTCCTGAGCAATGTGCTCTAGGTGACCCTGCTTGAGCAGGGAAGTTGATCTCTAGAGGTCCCTTCCAACCTCAAATATTCTGTCATTCTGTGATTAATCCTTTGGGAGAAAAGCAGGCTGCAACTGTATATTTGTGCTTGGGCACAATCAGTGGGGCCCTTTCTGCAGATATATCACAATAACAAACAAACAAAATAAAATCCTACATTTTGAGTCTGGATAACACATTTACCTCTGTGTCCCCTCTGGACCTTGGAAAGGTTTATCATAAACTTCTCTATAGAGATAAGGGAGCTCCAGCATTCTTGAAATCTGAACATCACACACAGGATCATCCACTTTATCTGGAAGGGTGAAAAGAACACACATTCCTGGCCAGGGTTGCCATACCAATCTTTTAAGCATGCATACCTGAGGCAGCACAGAAGCATTTCACATGCCAGAATTAAACTGGCATATTTTGTTCTCTGCTGTTTGTATAAAAACAAAACCCACAAAGGCTACTTCCACTTTCACATCTTACATAAAGTTAAATGACCACTGTAATGCACTGCAGACTATGCTTTTGTCTGACAACTTGTTTAACTGGAATTTAGGATGTCTGTTTTTTACCTTTCAGCAATCTTGATACATTAAATGAAGTCAAAAAACAGTAAGTAGCTTTATTTGGACCAATGTGAAAGCAATCTAGAGGCCTTTTGAATTGAATGGCTCTTATTTAGTGAAAAAAAAAAGGTAATATTATTAGCCTTTGAATGGGTTATATATTCATAAAACTCCCATTTGGAGAGAAGGTTGAATTCCCTCTCAGGTTTTAGCTAATTGTGAAAAAGCTACAAACTTATCTGATCTATGCAGAGTTTTTCAATGATAGCCTTCTTTACACCAAAGGTTTTTTTTCAGTATTGTCCCTGAAAGAATTAATAGAGGAAAAACAGCGCTTACGCAATAACACAGATATTAAGAAGAGCAGTTACGTAACGAGAAAGCTCCTAGATATCTGTAACTGACTGCATACAATTGCTGCCCTACCAGCTGTCACACAGAGGGGTCAGCACCTGCAGATGCAGAAACTTAGGGGAGGAATTCTTGGTCACTCTGCAGAGCCAAAGAGTTTAGGAGAATTTGGGCTTCATGATACATCATCCTAACGTCCTGTCTGCCCATAGAAAGGGTTATAGAGCCTGTGACAAACATTAACTGTTTCTCCAAAGCAACTAACACTCTTGTTGAAATGTGACATAAAAGATCACTAATTCCTCCCTGGGATTTCGGCTGTTCTACTCCAACACATAGAAAACTCACATAGAAAAGACACATAGAAAAGCAACTCTGCCAGGCACTCAGCCTGGTATCCAGTTACCCATTTTGTACTCATTTCAGTTATCCTTTCCTGGAAAGCTTGTAAAGCCTCATTCTCAGGTGGTTTATTTCCATCCATTAAATAACAAGCCTCATTAAAAAAATGAGATGCCAGCAAATACAGTAGCAATTATTCAGCAATTTACCTACAGTCTGGGTGTTCCTACAAATCAAGACAACCATGTAACATATATCAACAAGTGCATAACACTCACAAAAAGAGGAGGCCTGAATTTCTCTTTGCTCTCTGTAGGTTCGGATGTGACCTCTGACCCTGACAACATCCCCAATCTCCAGCTTGGTTTTCTGGCTGATCTTTTCCTGGAGTTTCTTCCTCTGTTCAAGCATATTAAGACTGCTGGCTGTACTTGGACAAGCTGTAAAAAAGCAGGGGAAAGGAAATCAGGCATCTGCACCCTACATTTGCGCAAAATCATATTGCTAAAAAAGGTCGAAGTCTGGGCAACAAAACTTCTGAGTATCTATTTTAGTTTATAGTATTATTTTACTTAAATAGTTCACCTGGGAAAATGGAAAGAGAGGAGATTCTGGCTTATCATTCTAAAAATGTCCTGGATGGGTTGAAAAATCAGAACATTTTAACTGCAGAAAGGAAAAACTGATGTTGTCATGCTAAGAGGGAAGAGAAGGGAAGAAAGCCCAGCTGCAATTTTTGCATAAAAGAAGGATGAATCATCTGAGGTGGGGCCAAGGTATTCTTGTGGTACAGTTTGGTATCTTTGCTGCTGCGAACACAACAGACAGAACTTCACATTTATCTAACACACCTTTGTAGGAGAGTAAATTCTTTGTAATTTAAAACCTGATTGATACAAACATCTATGAGCGTGATTACAAACTGACAGGCTTTAACCCTTTGGGACTTGTTTTCTTTAGCAGATACAAATGAATTAATTATCATTAAGAAAATAGTGTGCATTTTGGCACTACTGATGTGCACATAACTTAAGAACACAAATGTGAAGGAAGTCTTCTGGGTTCTCATTGTATATTAAGCTGCACTTCATGCAATTCCTTTTGTTACTTTCAGTGCATCGTTAACCTTTGGTTGTGGGTCCTCACTACTTTTTGGAAAACTGTACCACAATATTCCAGGTTCAGAGGAATTTTTCTTCTTAGGCTTAATGAGAAAAACTACAGGGTAACCAAGAAGCTCATCTTTATTCTACATCCAGCAAGGTGGGATTTCTGTTTTATACATAGTTCAGAGAGAAGACTAACTTATTTAAGAACTTAGAGCAGTTTATACGCTACAAGCTTTGTTAAATGTGAGTAGGTACATAAACAGTCTTGTTCCACAACCACAACAGCCTTTACCTTTTACATTAAGTCTTCCCCTCCTCATCCTAAGCATGTATATTACTAATATGGGCAGATGACAAGTAATATTTATTTTGTAAGTGTTTGACAATCTCCATATGTGGCTTCCCAATATAATACATAGGTTTTCAAGCAGGTGCAAAGTCAAAATTATGCTATACATTGCTGACAAGTATGAATGGATGACAGTGATATACTATGACAAGTGCTGAGGGAAAAGCAAGGAGAAAGACACTAGTGAGATGTTTTGTTATTCAGTGCAAGGAGTGATTCATGTCATATGCGCAACTTTTGCACGTTTAGAATAGTCAAAAGCATAAAAAACAGCTTAAACACAGTGGGAATGTCAGCAAATTTCAAGGTCACCATTGACAACATAAGCACGAGCAGAAGGGGAATATAAATGCAAAGAAAGAACACAAGAGCCATCCTGAAAGCCCTGTATTACAAGGGTGAGGAATGAGACCAGGTTGCTGGTTAATAGATTGATTTCAGAAACAGCAGCTGTGGCATGTGGCGAATTTCCAGGGTAGTTCTTCACAAAAAGCACAGTAAGAGGAGGATTCTTTGAACAATTTCACAGCATGGAATTGAAATATTATGTTATCCAGATAAGGAAATGCATGACAGGCCAAAATGCGGTGTTTTTATTGGCACTACCATTGGCAATAGCACAAAGAAACCAATACAAGGCTTACAAAATGGCCCAAGCTGTAGGTTGTGATGTTATTTAAAAAACAAACAAACAAAGTTTCCCCCAAAACTGTGATTTTAATGTGCTCCTCCAACTTTGATTGTTTACTAAGACATAAACAAAAATTGTGTGGTCAAAATTATACAGGATTATACAGGATTATACATTTGAAAAATTACCTGATAATGGTCTTTCTGCTCCCATGGGATTTTTCCAACAGACACAATTTATAACACCAGTACTATCATCCACTGTAAAAGAATTGCAAGAATAACAGTGATTAAGAAAGCAGGTTATGGAGTTCCAAGAAATAAAAATGGATACAGATAGGTGTTTAGGGAAACGATTGCTAAAGACATCTCAATTCATCCAGTTAAAAAGGGAAAGTGGGTGCTCAACTCCTACTTCTGCTTTTGAAATATTTCCACAATTACTTCAATTGCTGAAGTTGCTCAGCACCAAAAATCATGAGATCAGTAAAATAACAGGCCTCTTGTTTTTTCTTTTGCAAACAAAAGCAACAAAACAATTCAAGCACTGAATTAAATTAGAAGTTTCAACACATTCATCCAAAGAAAGGAAATACTGGGGACAAAAGGATTCTAATCTCAGTGACAGAGTTGAGAAAAAATAGAGTGCTGAATGTGATAGACCAATTAAAATAGGAAACCAAGTAGAAAAGAAAAGAACCATAGCAATTAATCACTGGAATAATCTATTAATAATTGCCTGTTTCTTAACGTCTTCAAATCAACATCAGATATTTTCCTGCAACAAGTTTTAAAGTGAGTACAAAAATCAGAGGCAAAGGGGGACAAATGGAGAGAAAATTATGTCTGCTAACTGGTTAACTTGCTTTTATTACGCAGGAAATTTCCTCAAGTAATCCAGCGGCCCATCCTGACTTTAAAATCTCTTAACACAGTAGGAAACACATCAAGATAAACATTTCTTTACAGCAGAACATCACTACAACAGTGAAACACCGTTAGGATTGTGCTCACAGTCTGCTGGCAGTTTCTGCATGACAGGATGTTGCTAAGAGCAGAAGGGCAGTTCCTCTAGCCAGGAAGGGACAGGGGACAAGATGCTTGTGGTTCTGCCCTAGGCCAGGGATTTCCAGCTTACAGCATATACACATATACACCACTGGTGGCCTGTACTTCTGCCACTGCAAAAGCTCTGGCTTTTGCCAGAAAAAAAAAAAAAAAAAGCTGTCTGGCTTTTCCAGTTTTGCCAGTACCCAAGCGAAATAAGTTTTGTGATTTCTGCCTGTAGGCATGGTACTGGCAAGGACAAAGCAGAAAAAGACAAAAAGGCTAAAGAAAACAGAAGAGCCAGAGAAATAATTGTTCTACAGATCACTGAAAGCCTGTTTATGAGCAGCTTGTCCAAGGAACACCCTCTAAATAAAACATTTAGCAGAGAAAAAGGCAGTTAATGCCTGTCACAACATGGCAAGGATCACCTTTCAAGTCCAGCTACCACTTCAAGCATCTTGCTGCTTCTGTGTAACCATCTGAAACACTGAGCTTTTACAAAGTGGAACCTTCAATTTTGCTCTGCCCCTTAAACCAGATCCTGGACGACATATGTGTGAGTGTTTACCGTGAAGGTCCCGACTGGTACCTGCAGTTGTTTCCTCTAGGAACCAAGCATCAAAGCAAAAGGCTTTAACATTGTCTCACATGTTTTGAAACAATCTCCCTATATGGGGGATCCAATTTCGAGTCATTGTCTTGGCTTCCTGTTTCCCAGCAGCTTAGTCTGGAGCAGGCACATTTCTAATAACCAACATAAGGCATCTGTGAGACACAGGCAGTTCCAAATTCCATCACTAAAAACATGCTTGTCCAATAAATGTCCCCCTTCTGAGGTGTTGTCTGCAGCTTTCATTCTGCTTTAGAATAAGAATGATCTAAGTAGTAAATTTCCTCTCCTCTGCAGAGAAACAAGCAGCTGTTCTAGCTGGCAGAAGAGCCCCCATACATCAGGGCAGACCACATCTGCCCAGTACATTATTGCAGCACCTGGGTGCTGCAGGTTGAGAATGCCTCTGCTGCACCAAACACTGCAGCTCTCCTTCAAAGGGCTTCAAAACAAAACAAGCAGGCCTGAAGGATCAGGCCAGGCTCCTCACTGCCAGTGCAACAGCAAGAAGCAACGTCCTGGAGAAAGTGTCCTATTCTTGCCCACATAAGGAATCTGGTAATAGAGCCAGGCTCTGGAACGCAGCTTTCTCACTTTCCACATTAAAAATTCTGAGCAAAAAGACAAGTAACTAGTGCAGTACTGATGAATGAAAACTCTGCTAATTGTATTCTAATGAGATCTATTTTAAGTATACTCAAGGGGTCTACAACCTGTTGGAAACTTCCTGTGCGGCTTCTTCTCAACAACTCAGTTTTGAACCTTTTTTTTTTTTTTTTTTTTTTTTTTGACCTTCACCTTAATTTAGCCCTCTCAAAGCTACCCAGTAAATGAGATAATTGGGTCCATTTTTACTTCTTGATATCAAAAGGCAATGTTTCTTGTAAACTCTGTAGGAGTTCACTGAGATCCCTGTGAGGTTTTATTTGCTTGTTTTTAAGGCTGTTCAACATTTCAAAACAGCCTCAGAGAATCAAGCAAACCAGAAGAAATACCATTTGGTTTTGGGAAGGCAAAAAAAGTCAGAAAAGTACACTGGCTAAAAAATGAGCTTACTCAAATCTAAGCTTTTATTAAATATCCTTCTCTTAACCAATTATAACAGCAATAAACAAGTAATAAAATCAGAACTTCAAAACCTGAATTAAAGTTATTATTTTCTTTTATCCAAGAAAGACAGTCAATTCATTCTCTTCCACAATTGCTATTTCCTTACCCATTGTGGCTGTATTATGGTTTCCAGCACAGAAAAGACCTAAGATCCTCTTTAAAGAGAGGTACATATTCTGAGGTAGATAGGTAGGAATGAGGAGAGGAGATAATGGCAGTGGTACCAAGATATTCCAGTTCTCTGTCTATCAGACAAAAAGTACAGCGGGGGAATTGCTTTGCAAGCCCTTTTAAGCAGATGGAAGGTGAGCAAATACTGAGCAGTGTGTGGCACTAACTGATGCAATGCCTGCTCTGTGACTCACCAACTGCTGAACTGAGAGATGCAAGACCTTGCAAGCAGGAAACCGCCTAAGAAGTTACAATTTTATGCTGGTGGAGTCGGTCTGCCTGAAACAGGAGGGCAGGCTGGGGAGGAGCACCCTGGCAGGTAGTCTGAAAGCTCAAACCAGGAACTGCTGGAACAAAGATGGGAGTTGAATGTAAAAGGACAGCAGGAAGCCAGACTGGCTGAGAATTCTACTTACAGGTTGGCTAATCTAACACTAAGGCCTTAATTTCACTAGTCCGCAGGTCTTTTCATTTCTTTTCCTCCATTTGCTACCCTAGTCAAATATTTCCAGCAAGTCGACATCTGAACTAATGCCAAGAACACTGTGGGAAACCCTTACCTCAAGATTTTTTTTCTTTTTTTTTGCCTCTATCATTTTGATTCTCTCCCTCTGTTCAGTTACGAATACATTTGCATACTGGTGCAACAAAAGAGTAATAACTAACGTTCAACCTATGTTTCAACAGCTTGTTACATCATCAACTCTATTTCCACTTCTTTAGCGTTTATTTTGCCTGTGCTACTATAAAGGCCAGAATATTTCACGCTTTAACAAGCTTACTGACCGTTTATTATTGAGCATTATGGCAAGGCTATAAGAAAAATCCAAAAATCAGACTAAAAAAAAAAACAGAAAAAATGTCAGCTTTGAAAAACTTGCAGAGATTTTTATGCAGATGCTAGGGGCAAATCTAAAGAACCCCCTACGCAGGGCATACTACGTGCATGAATTGTCCTTTCTACATGGCAGCAGCATGATGTAGCTGCAGGGGCAGCTGGGCTTGCCTGTAAGTAGTTGGCTGTATCTTCACAATATTCCTGTGCAGCAGAGAACTGCCTCTGTCACATTCTGTAAGCGGCAGGAAGCGGCACTCAGTGGCTCCCCTTCATCACATGGAAACGATGGGAGAGGAAGACGGGAGACAAGTCCCTCAAATCTTAGATAGGACTTACATGGTTGGTGTCCCCAGCTTATTGCCGGTTAGACCCACATACCCCTTTGGAAACTTGTCACATCACCATTACTCCAGTCTTCTCTTTCTCCGGATGAAAAAGGCAATTGAACTAAATAATAATCAAATCTTTCCATGTTAGTTAAATAGTCTGAATACTGAAAAACGACAACCCTCCTTTCAGATGCAGTTGGCAGAGACTGGTAGTATAGTGATTGGGTCAGATTTGCTAAGGCATCTAAATATAAACTTACACATGTAAACAAAACAATTCCTGCTATCAAAACCTGGCTATGACAAAATACACAAGTCAGAAGGAATTCCTACAGTTTAAAAAAGGAAAAAGTGACTTCTCATTTGCAGGCTCTCTTAAATCCATTTGCATATAGCTAAAAAAAAAAATGTTGCGTGTGCATGACAGGAAGACAGTATAGTCCAGTAGCAAAGCAATATCCAAATTAAGATTTGCTAGAAGACCCCCAGATAATCAGTTATTCATCTTTAACCTTTTGTTTCTTCATCTTTTTTTTTTTGATAAGTGATCTCACTTGCAGATATACAGGATAAGAGCAGTTATTTCAACACAATCAAGTCTAAGTTCTAAGGTTCAAAGGCTGATAAATGCAAGAATAAAGAAAGGCTTTTCTTACCTCCATAATTATAAAAGGCATTTCGCTCTTTGCTTTGAACCACTATCCCAACAACATCTACCTGTCGCACTGGATGTCCATTATAAAAGAATATACCTAGACACAGAACATAAGAACTAAGCATAAATACATATTCCTTACAAATAGCCTACTCTACATAGTCACACAGTATTCCTACTCACATGAAAGATCTCCTATCCCTGTGAGGACCAGAAACACTCTGATATGTAGGATACCAAGTGCTTATTTTTGTAGAGTCTCAGATTTTATCTTCCCTTTATTTTCTGCACATTTTGATCTGCAAAACAGTTCTTGCTATAGGTTTTTTTTTTTTTTCCAATCATCATCAGGCTTAGGAGTAAATAATCAAATACAATGGAAGCACTTCAGTCTTCTCACAATGCAACTGTTCCCAATTAAGGCAGAGCCTCCAAAATGCAAAGTAACATTGTTTAGTCATGCATTACTAAAGGAACAGAAGCCCCAAGGGGAAAATAAAAAAAACCACATACACACCCCACTAAAAGTCAAATTGTAAAGTACACTACAATCACCACAGACAGTATTTTGAGCTCCAGTTCCAGAAATAACTCATTCTAAAAACATCCCTTCAAAGTTATTTGTGTGCATTTATAAAGATTAGTTGGATAAGAGTAACATACAAAAATATGCCCAAGTAAGAGCAAGAAATCAGAGCCCAGTGGACTTCAACAGTACTGAAGCTGTCACATGCTGTGATCTCTCTCACAAGCACCAGAGTGGCAGAAGTCTTTGACCAGCACTGATGTAAATATTATATACTGACGCCTCACCATTCTCTAGCAGGAGGAAAATAGAGCAACAAGTGCTGATATAGCCTGGGCTGGCTCATCTTGGGTGAATGTTTTCCTTCTGTTTCAGAATACTACAGCTTTACTGAAATATGTCATCTGGGATGTTCAATAGCTTCGAAAAACTAGATAACTCAGGGGACTGAGAGGGAGTGTTTGGCTCGATACACTGTGTCAAGTCTCAGTCTTGTAAAGGGAAAG